AACGTCGTGCTAATAACGCGAAGGTCGCAGGTTCGAAACCTGCATGGGCCAAAGTTTTTTTATAATTTAATTATTTTTTTTGAAAATTTATTTTTATTTAAATTAATGTAATTGAAATAGTGTTTAACTTAGTGTGATTTTAATTTTAGTGTTTCTAATTTTAATTATAGCACTCACGTTTCTAGTTGTAGTGTTTCTAATTTCAAATTTGCATATCTAACCAATTGAGAAGCTTTTTGTGTCCGAGGGTTTAAATACCGTAGTTATAACTTAATTCTCCGGTAAGTCACTTCTTGAAATTTGATTTATATGCATAAAAAAATAGTTTGATTTATATGCATAAAAAATAGTTTGATTTCAAAATAATTCAAATAGTTTGATCACGTTACCAAAGTAAAACCATGAGAAAAAAAGACCTTCACAAAATTATGAAGAGAAAAAATTTACCCGAGGACAAGTGATAATAAATCAACATATGTTCTGATTTCATAAACGATGGAGAACGAAGCAGCCTTGAGTTTTAGAATGACACTTTCAAATGGTGTCAATTATTTTTTCGTTTTAGATTATATTGTTAACTTTTTTAATTTTTGGTGTTCGTTTGAAGGTTCAAACTTTGTTGAAAATGTCATTGTGTACATTTAGTAGCACTGGATCCAGCTCTAAAGCAAGCGTTTCGGTGTCCATTTTCAGCTATCATATTTGTTGACCCGGGGAAGTATTGCATATGGTTCAGCAAAGCCGAGGAAATCAGCCTGATGGCAGCCCATCTCTTTGAAAAGTTGCACGAGTAAGGATCAGGTGGTACGTAACATAAGATGGGATCATTGACTGGAATACCAACAGAATTGCATATATTATTTGAAACTCTACAGCACAAAAATCTCATCCATGGTTGATTGGTTCCAAATGTTATTCAACTAATTCTCATACCTCCAAATGTTATCAGTTCTGTATATGTTTTTTTTTTCCCACAACCAGTCAAGTATATGTTCCTTCACAACGGGAGTCAATCGAGACTTAACTGCTATACCATAGAATGCTCTATCATCCACTCACTTCTCCGATATATTGACAGGAAGGGATGTGCCCAAATATGTGATCACCCGCGTGACTTGTAATGCCTGTGCTACTTCTTTGTTTTTTACGTCAATCTGTAGCAAGCCTAGAAGGGCAAAATCCTATGAGGGCAAAAGCATCGACATTAATCGAACCATCTATGAAAGTTCAAGTACTAAGAAAAGGAAAAAGAAGCAGCATCCAGCATCTCAAAAAGCATGAAACGAACGTATCAAGCAATCATAATAGCTTAATACAAAATCAAGGAGGATAAAGACAAAGCATCAATATGAATAATCAAGCCAACTTTGAAAAATCGAGATGCACAAAGAAAAATATTCAAGACCTATCGCCAGAAGTAAAGGAACCAAAACCTGTCGCAAAACCAAGAACTAAAAAGATTAAAGAACCACAATTTCAAACAGCGAAAAAACGCCACGAGGAACAAAAACTAAGACCAATCTCAAATGGGCATAAAAAGGGAGAGAGCCGAACCAAGATAAGGTGGTAGAGCGTGGGTCGGTGAACGCGTGACCGAGGACTCGGGGACGTCATCGCTGGAGTCAGAGGGGGATGAAGTAGTTGTGTAGTGATCGTTGTGGAGGGGGGAATCCGCTTCCGGCGCAGTCATTCTCGAAAAGTGGCCATGGTCCGCGATTCCATGGCTCCCGTCGCCTCAAGCCCGAACTCCTACCGTCCACTCGCTCTCGATGATCGCAGCCAATACAGCTACTATTACCACTACATCTATAAAGAGGAGCAGAGTCCCATGTACTAACTAAACAGACTCCGGAGAACTCCTCAATGGAAATTTCTTAAATCTCTTAACATAACCAAGATTAATATAAGGAGGGTGTGGTGACCGCGTTTTGGGATACAGGTGACTGTATTTTTGATATTGTGGCCAGTGACGTAATCCTTATATCCTAGTTATTCTCTTATGATTATTGGTTAGTTTTGCACAAGAGATTGAGATTTGTATATTCATTATTTTCATAGTGGATTATCTCTAGTTTATCATGTGATTTTGAGTTTTTTCACGTATATCTTGGTGTTCTATTTAATTGTGATTTCATTTAATTTTGCTTTGGCCTGTTAGTATTTGTTCATATACAAAGATTATTCCGCTTTATATACCTGATGCGGGGGGCATCTATTTAAGCCGTGGCCTCGGGATCGTCGCGACTCGATTCGGGGGTCCGGATGTCGGGGATCTCGAGCGACGTCGCTCGGGGTCTCTCGGCGGCTGAGCACGGTGGTTCGGGTCGGGAGGTCGGGTCGGGAGGAAGCTCCGCCACAGCGTCGAGAAGAGGCAACACCGTCTCGCACCTGCACACAGGTCGGGCCGGGAGCTCGGCCCGACCCCTCCGACGATCAAGTTTGCGATGTGGAGAGGGTTTTGGAGGACGAGATGCCTCCAAGTGCGTTGTGCTTGTGTTCCTCTCCCCGTTCGTTAAGAACTCTGGGGTATTTATAGATGAGTTTGATGTTACCTGATGTGGCTGCTTGCAGGAGGCAGGCTGATAGCGTATGACATGGGGTTGGCATGGCGTGAAGAACCAAGCCTGAGTTAGGTGTTAATGCCGACTTCCTCGGGCAGTGTGTTGTCGGCTGACGTTATGGCGTGTCACATCGTCATTTTTACCCTTATCAATACCCATCAATTTAAACACCAAGCACTAAAGTGATTCGGGTGCAATGATGCCAAGTACGCACAGACCAAACCATCCAATCGGATTGATTTGGGTTAAAGCCTAACTATATTTTCCATATTTCTCGATCCGATTCAAATCACATCCCGAATTATCACACTAGCAGCTAATCAACCAAAAGTTTCTTATCTGACGCGTCGTAGGAAGTAACTCAGATTACGAACTCGTATAAACTACATCCTGGATTATCACACTAGCAGACAATCAACCAACATTGGTATAGGCATTCGAAAAAGAATCAATCGGAATATAAACTAAAAATCTGGAGATCAAGAAGCGTAAAGAAAAAGAACCAACATATAAAGCAGAACAACCTGTTGCAGAATCGAGCAGAAGCAAGAGAAAGAGGAGTACAACTTATCTATATTCCACCTATCGTTGGTCATGAATTTAGACAAGACAGCAAGTATGCTACAAGTATCCACAAAGATCGGGAGAAACTAAGGAGGAACCGAACAAATCCACGGATCGGCCAAAACTCGAATCGAAGAACCATACCGACGGAAGATCAAGAAGCATAAAAACAGAAACCACAACCTATCACAAAGCCATTAAATACAAAGAAAAGAACTAAGATATCAAGAACCACTTCCGACCGAACAGAGAAAGAACGCCACAGAGGAATGCAGCTAAAGATGAGTGTCATAAAGGCTTGCAACTAATCAACCAACATCGATATAGGCACTAAATAAAAAAAAAAAAATCAATCGGAATACAAACTAAAGACTGTCATAACATGCGAATCGAAAAAGAACCAGCATCTATTACCAAGAAGCACTATGAAAAAGAACCAACATATCAACATATCAAGCAGAACAACCTCTTGCAGAATCAAGAAGAATAAAGAAAAGGAACCGAAACCTATCGCTAAGTCAAGAAGTAGAAAGAAAAAGAACCAGCATCTCAAGAACCACTGCCGATCGTCAAAAAACGCCATAGACGAACGCATCTAAAGGCCAAGTTCAGAGGGGCGTGAAAAGGGAGAGTGCCGAACCAAGATGTGTGTCGTAGAGAGTGGCTCGGTCGACTTCGACGAACGCGGAGTCCGAGGGCTCGCGTCGGAGTCAGCGTCGTCGGAATCGGCAAGGACTTCCTAGTTCCGATGATCGATGACCTTGACGAAGATACGGGTGCTCTCTCTCTCTCCTCTCTCTCTCTCTCTCGAGGCGCGTTGCAACCATCTAACCACCCCACGAGAATACTATCAAGGAATTGAATGGAACTTTCTGGATCACTTTCCCAGAAATCCTATTCATCTAAATATTGCCCGTCTTTTATACCGTCCTCTCGACCGACGTGGCTACCTGAGGACCCTACCAAGACGGGCTGAGATGCGATATGGGTCGTAAAGAGGTATTAATATTATGAGTAAAGAGGTATTAATATTATGTTCATTAATATTATGAGTAAAGAGGTATTAATATGAGTAAAGAGGTATTAATATTATGTTTATTACTATCCAGCCTACGATAATTTTATAGTGAAAACAGGAAATCGTTGAGGTGATCTCTGATGATATATGATAGAATAATTTGATTATCATGAAACAATTAATTGAAAGATTAATTTGATATAAGAAATAATTTATGAATCCACAACAGAGGTGAAGGATTGTTCAGCTACTCTGAAAAGTGCTTTGCCCACAGGTCAACTACGGTTTTACTGGTCATAATGACAGGGGACCCACACGTCTCCGTCGATGTCATGGATTACGTCATACGTGCTTCCTGTCTTGAGGGAGACGCGTGGCTCCACACCCTTGCGGCAACGGCGTCGGTCCTCGATCAAACAACGCGAGTCCAAGAGAAGGCACAGGATTAGGAATGTCTCTACCAACAGGACCCACCTCTCGCCTCCATCAGGATACGGAAGCGTCATAACGCGCACCGCATCACGCGACACGTCACATTTCTCGGCCGAGCCCACGCCCATGTCGTTTCTTCCTTCCTCGTGAGGAACGTGAGCCCGCTGTGGGGCAAACGGTACACGAGAGGGCCGAGAGGGACGCAGCAGCCCCTCCTCAAGCCTTCCCACGACGAATCGGCTTCGCCTGCCGATCTACACTTCCCGTTCCTCCACCTTCTCCTCCTCTTCCTCTGAGCTAGTGCCATCCCGAAGCCATCCATCTGTCGATCCAGGCCGTGCGATCTCTCCTGCCTCTTCCGTTCCCGTCAGTCTGACCATTCTTCGCCGTTTCCCTGTTTCCACCTTTTTAGAGTCTCTTCTCTCTGTGTGTGTGTCTTTGAGAGAGAGAGACAGAGAGAGAGAGGGGATGGAGATGATGGCGCTGTTGTTTCTGTTCGTTGCAATGTTTCTGATGTGCTTCGGGATCGGCGTGGTGTTCATGGTGTACATGTGCATTCTGTGGTCGTCGATACTGCAGAACGGGGAGGGGGAGAAGGGCGGGAAGGGGTTGTCGACGGCGGAACTGGAGCGCCTCGGCGGGGCGGCGGACGGCGGTGCGGTGGCCGGCCAGGAGTGCGCGGTGTGCCTGGAGGACATCGAGGCAGGGCAGGCGGCCCGGGTGCTGCCCGATTGCCGCCACGCCTTCCACCGGCCCTGCGCCGACCGCTGGCTCTCGGCCCACCCGGACTGCCCCCTCTGCCGCGCTTACCTCCACCCTCCTCCTCCTCCGCCTTCGGTCCCCCTACAGGTGGTCTTGTCTGCTTGATAACGCTGCAGTTTTGCTCTCTCTCTCTCTCCCCTCCTCTTTGCCTGTTCTTTTAATAGGAATACACCATTCTAGCATAATTCCTTTTCTTCTTCAATTTGATTCCGTAGGTCTTGTGATCAAATACGTTATTTAGTTCTATTCATCGATTATGTTCTCTCTTTTTTATCTACATATATGTATATATCTTTGTGTGTGTGTGTGTGTGTGTGTGACAGTAATATGTTTAGACCACAAGGCAATATGATTTATGCGAAAGCAAGTGAAATATAGAATTATTATGTGAAGATCGTATGTAGTAATGACAGCAAATAAGCACCAACTGGAAGAAAAGGAAATGAAGGTGGTGGACTTCAATGCAGGTACTAATGGCAACCCTTCCTATGACTACAAGCTCATAAAGCACTGTTAGTCTAAATGCAATGAGTTCAATGTGAGCGTATCCTTTTGTACACAAACAAAGCTCTCTAACACCATTAGATAGTATAAGGTTTCAGCTAAACTTCCAAGTTTTTGGTAACTGAGATCATTTAGTGCGCATAAATATATAAAGAACACTAAAATTACCGAACACATTCTGTTTCGATATGCGGGTGCTCCATCCATGATTTGCTTCTACGTGTCGCATCGACACCCGTTCATTCAAAATCGTATCGTTGTTCGACGTGGTAGGGTCGTCGCCACCGGTCGCTTGTATGGGCTTTCCGCCCATAAACGAAGAGAGAGAGAGAGACCAATGAGTACGAACGAAGACCGAGAGGGAGCGAGCGTCGAGCGATATGTGGGCCTCTGGTTCTACTGTCTTCACGGCTGCTCGCTTCCTGGCCCCCGTCCGGAGGCCAAGGCACGGCTACCGCCGCACTCGAGCTGAGGTTTCCGCCCCCTCCTCCGGCCCCGCTCCGCACGCCGACAGCCGGAAGAAGGTGGTGGTCGTCGGCGCCGGCTGGGCCGGCCTCGCCTCCGCTCACCACCTCTGCAAGCAGGTCCGTACTTACTCCTTCCCTCCGGCGGGTTCTTCTCCGTGGGACCTCAAGAAGAAGCCACGAAGACATCTTTGTGTTGGATCTTATTTTGGCGTCACTTCTCTTCGTTTCTTGGCGCCAGGGATTTGATGTCACCCTCCTCGAATCCGGAAGCGGCCCCGCTGAAGAAATCGGCATCAGAGGTACGCTTTCCAATCGATTCATTCATCCAATTCCATCTTGTATAATATGCGTTGCCCCGAAGGACCTATTCGACTCTGTGTGCGTCACCCTATGCTTCATTCCATCGTTCCAATTTGAATCCTTCATTCTATAATGGCATCCATCCTCAGTTGTCAGGTCCCGAAGCACTCGAATATCCCACAAGCTTGAATTGGGACGAATCCCGAATCGCTCCCAAGCTATTGCCTTGGATGATTCCAAGCCAGCCATATATGCAATTTCTCAGTCGTCCTTGATCTCCCTCCGTCTTGATGATGCGCTTTTCTCATCTGGAAAGTTCTAAGAGCCTAATCTTCATCTCCTCCACAAACATTGCTTTCCTTCGAATTTCTCCTTTTCTAAATTGTTCTGTTATCTAGAATTTAAAGAAGGTAATGTGGTCGTATCATTGCTCATTGGTCATATTCAGTTTTTTGTTTTCAAAGTGGTTTATGTTTATTTCGAAAATAAGAAGATATTGTTTGAGAGACACCAAAAGTACATGAGAGAGATTAAGGAGAACTTAACTGAAGTACAACATGAACAAATAACTTCAGGTAGACAGATGCTCACAGTACAAGCGAGTCAGTGTCAATATAAGAGATACTTGTCATTTATCCCTTTATCTTAGACTATCCAAAAAAGATAGTGGAGTTCCACATGGTTTCTCTTTAATTGTGTTACTCTATCTGCAAACTCTGAGGTGCATCTTTTCTGTCAAAAAAAATCATCTCATATGTAATGGCCTAAAGATAGATATATTTCCGAATATATCTCTTATTTGCAAGGACTGACAGAATGGATTAAGATCAGATGTGCACAAATTTTTGGATCTTAAGGGCTATCCACAAAGATATAGCTTACTGGTGTTTATATCTTGTGCACTTTCATCCAAAAAATGCTAATCTGGAGAGGCATCAACCGTTTTGTGCTAGTCAACCTGGGTATTAGTGTGGTATCCTGTATTATGTCAAGGATGTGCCTACAGCACTTCCGAATGAGATTAGTATGCGTTGATTGGGATAGTGCTCATGCCACATCAATCCCATGAGTTCTACTGATCCAAGCCAAGATAGTCTTGGTTGCTTCACCCAACATTAAAATCCTTGAATTCGTGTTTTATGGTCAATTCCTATTGATCCTATCTTGATTAGACTTGCCTTGAACTCAAGTTGCGCCAACATTAGCTTGTCCACTAGAGTAACAACTGATCATACAGAATCTGTCACAACTTCCATGGAGCCTTCTCCATCCTATCTGAGTTATGTTATTAACTGGACCCATGTTTATTGGTAAGATTGTTGAATGATGATGGTTTCTACTTTCTACTTCACCCATGCATTTTATATTTCTACTTTTAACAAATACAGCATTTGTTTTTAAGAAGAGATTCTGCGTCTACTTTCTAGTGCTATTTTTATTCATTCTCTTTCAGTCTCTCTTGCTTGATTCGACAGCTCACCTAGCATCTTCAGCAATTTTTGCTGGCAGCTGGTTGTTGCCGGTATACTGTAAAATAATTAGTTTCTATCAAATTATCATGGAATATATTGTGTTCAGTGATATCCAACTTTTATAATCCCAGATACCTTCCTTCGAAACGAAAGGCATACAATATTTACATTTTTTGTTGATTTTTCACTTATCATAAGAGAAAACTGACATGCCAACATGCAGGATTTTGGCGTCCATACCGTAACATATTCTCTGTTATCGATGAACTAGGAATCCAGTGTTTTACCAATTGGATGAGTTCTGCCCTTTACTCCCCAGCAGGCATGGAGGTACTCTTTAGTCATGTACTACCTTAATAATGCCAAATCTGTTGGAGTCAACATGTTCCTTTTGTCTCATTTATTTTTGAGTTGCATTTAGAAGTCTCTAGTGTTCTTTTGTCTTCTCAAACTCTGAACACGTTAAACAGAAACTAAACTTAATGTGATATTTATATTTTAGTTCATCATTTCTGGTTACACATATTATGTCTCTCTTTATTAGTCAGGGAAGTCCTCTGACATTTAAGGTCCTTGATTTTTTATTAGAATAACTTATAGTCGTGAGGACCTTTGTGTAACATTACTGCTCATGGAATGATATCTGATATCTGGTTAAACACCCAGTTTTGAGAAAGAATCCTTGTATTATTTGGAGATTTTTTAGCATATTCCCAAATTTGTTCTTCAGAATATTGGTGTGAATACCAGTTGTAGTTTTTTCCTAATACCGACTAGTATGATTTCATCCTTTTGACCAGAACATCAAACCATATTATCAAATCTTCTCAAGTATAACATCTTGACTCATTCAGTTTACTTAGCAATTGAAACTCTAGCTTTTGTTTCAATGACAATATATATTTTTGCTATTTACCAATATAAAGCGTGACTTATTTTATGCCATATTATTTTCACCTATGTCACTATTGATCAAGATGAACATATATTGATGCCTTTGCACATACATTATCTGACCATTTATTATGAATATGATCTTTTCCTATTAGTATACCTATATCACTACTGTGAACAAGTATTATATACTCTCACGTTGGCATGTTAGACAAGTAGGTTTGATTTTATAGAATGTGTTTTCAATTAGATAGTGCTGGAGTTAATACTTATTCAACAGCTTTGTCTGTGATCACCAATTTGCAGGTCAAATTTCCTGTATTTCAAGATCTTCCTTGGCTACCAACTCCCTTTGGAGCCCTATTATACCCAGAAGTATGCCTTGAATAAGCTCAAGTTTGCTGCTGGGATCTAGTAATATTACCAATGTAGATCTTTTTATTGATAATCTCCTTGTTAAAACTGACTTTTATATTTATACAGTTTCTTAATCTTCCCTTGGTGGACCGATTAACTTCAGTTCCTCTTATATCTGCAGGTACTTATTGAGTCCTTTACGTTTTAATGAAGGTCGATCTTGTCATAAAGGACAGAATTGGTGTTATGCTTTTGTTTTCATCATTGACGATTATCAACCATCTAATGTTTTCTTCACGATGCAGTTATTGACTTTGACAACACTGATACTGCTTGGAGAAGATATGACACAAGTGAGGGAAACATCTATATCCCATGTGACATAGAGAGCTACAAATTGTGCTATGAGAATTTTTTTGTTAATATCTGATGAAGTACCGAGGATCAAACATTCTAGAGTTTGATCAAGGAATTTTAAATGACAGTGACTTCAAGGGAACTTTTTAAACAATATGGGTGCTCAGAAAGGCTCTTCCAGGAGGTTTTCGAGCCATTCCTTCATGCTGGCTTGTTTGCTCCTGCAGAGCAATGTAGTGCAGCTGCATCCTTAGGAATGCTTTATTACTACATTCTTTCTCATCAGGTGAATTTATGTCAAGAAAATGTCAAGGTTTTCTTTCTACAGTGTACATAAGTTATTATTGCCTCGACAAGTGAGATCTTTCATGACAATCTCGTACAAGATTCTGAGAGATCTTATACTCTTTTCCCTTGTACAGAAAAATTTTGACGTTGCATGGTGCCGTGGAGCTGTTGAAGAAAAAATTTTGTTGCCATGGCTCGAGTCAATGAGATTAAATGGCTTAAAGTTTTGGGAAAACAAAAGGGTGACGGATTTTATCATAAATGAAGATACTAGTTGCATCTCTGGGCTAGTATGCGGACAAGAAGTATATAAGGCTGATGCATTTGTCCTAGCAGTTGGTATCTCCACTATCCAGTCCACTATTCTGAGCAGGTACGGAAGATATTACCATGTCATCACCAGACAATAGGGAGAAAAAGGAAAAAAGAATGATTGTTGGGTTTCTTATCATTTAGTTAGTGGTTGTCCTTTGTCATCATGTAAGCAAATCTCTGTGGTATTTTGAACCTTCAATGTCAGCATTTTAAATTCCAGCACAATTATACTCTTCGTTGCATAATGCTCTATCAAAAGCAAATTGGCAGTCATCGTTCCTTTCTTTTCTTGACTGTTTATTTTCATGTAGTCCTGTGCTACAATCACGACAGGAATTCCTAAGCGTTCTTAACCTGGCTGCCATCGATGTGATCTCTGTTAAATTATGGTTCGATAGGAAGGTGAACAATGATGCCTATTTGTTTCTAATTTAGCATATATATTTGAATTTTGAAGATGCACTGATTCAATAGTTCCTAGGTCGAAGTTCCAAATGCAGTCAACATTTGCTTTGGATCTGATGATTCAATCAGCTGGACTTTCTTTGATTTGAACTCAATATATGATGAATATCAAGATGAGCTGGCAACAGTTTTGGAGGCTGAAATTGTGAGTTCCAAATTGCAAATATCATCTTTGGTTGGCAGTGAGAATGCAATAACCTAACTGCTATTTCTAAATATTTGGAGTTCTTGAATTTCCAAAAATTTTACCTCTGCTTGTTTTGTTCACTGCAGTATTATGCCAACCAGCTGTTGCCATTAAAAGATGAACAAATTGTTAAAAAAGTGGTGGCATATCTTTCAGGTTGTGTGCAAGGATTTAAAGAAGCCATTGTCATGCAGCAAAATGTAGTCAGACATGTCAAATCTACTACTCACTTCTTTCCAGGTACTGCTGTGATACCAAAATTCTGGAATCTTTGTGATGCATATTGTCTATGCTATACTCTGAAAGGATAAAAATGCTGCAAGATACTGTACCGATAGCCATACTATATACCCTTTCAGGTCCTCTAAGTAGCAGTTCAGGTTATGACAAATTCCTCTTCCTTAATATGCTCCACTACTCGCTTTGTTCTATGAGGAGTGTTGCCATGACATGTTTTAGTGGGGTCAACAATTTTTATCTGGTCAGGCCAAATTTTGCCTGGTACAGGGGCATACCAGCTATGTCGTGCGGTATTAAGATACAAACCCCCCCCCCCGTTCTCAGTGGATATTTAAAGCCTTCATTATAATGAATTAAGATCTTCCTTTCATGTTGGGATGCAGTATTTTGAATATATGATCCTCCACTATGAATCTAAACAGATTGTGAAACCTTGGCACGCCTAATTACAAGTGATGAAGCGATTTCATCACCCAAGCTGTGTATCATCTGGATGGCCTTGGACTCATTACATTGGAATTTAGCCTGTGGTCATTTGGTCAGTTGTTTATGTTTAGGGTGGTGTTAATCAATAACTTGTCATTAATACTCTGATAAGTTTTGAGTATTCCTGTAAGATATCTAATGTCTGATGAAACTTAATTTTGATATTATTGACATCTAATGTCTGGCGACTCCAACTTAGTGTTTCTTTGTAACTTTTCTTTTCGAACCTACCTTATCTGTTTATATAGCAATGAGATAATAAGAACTAGGAGAATTGTTTACGCCCCATACGACGCATATTTTTATCCCAGCAGGTCAAGTTTACCACCTCCAAGTCTTTCAACCCATAAATGTTATTGCTATTGTCTTTTTGTTTGTGTTTTTCATTTCTGTTAGATCATTAGAACAACCCATTTAAGCCAAATTGATATGCAGGTTCCTACAAGCACATGCTGCGTGGCTCGACTACGTTTCCAAACTTGTTTATGGCTGGAGACTGGATAGTCACCCGACACGGATCATGGTCGAAGGTAAGTGTTGTAACTTACTGTGAGAAGAGAAAAATACATTGAGAAAACAAAGACAAAATGAAAATCGAAACGACATGACCATCCGGTGGCTCATGGCAGGAGAAAGCATATGTGACCGGATTAGAAGCCGCAAACAGAGTGGTGGACTATCTTGGGGAGGGAGAATTTGCCAAGATCATAGCAGTCGAGGAGGATGAACCTCACATCCAAACACTACGTAGCCTCAACCGAAGAGTGAATGAGATAAGGACCCAGATTCCCTCATTTGATTTCTTTCTCTAGTAGTAAGTATCAAGAACTCAAGAATATTGACTGCTTAAGATTCTACAAGTTAGAAAAGATACTAGGAAAGAACATATTATTGGTTGTTATGACATGTCTTGGACCATGTCTTGTACCTCAGAAATCACACCGAAAAGCCACAACAGTCGAGAAAATATAGTGCACCATTTTTATTGTATGTGATTGCAGTACACCAGAAGGTTGTGTAGAGAGAGCATTCTGAAGCCACAGTATTGGTGGTAATTAAGAGAGAAGATTGATGAAATTTGTGTCTTGATACACAACACACTGTTGTTGATGCATAAATCAGTGAAGATTTCGTGTTTCACGTTTATTTCCCGACATTAGTTGGATCGAATTGATGTCACTTAAGGTGATCATAGTTCGTTTTGTATCGGAAATCGAATCGATCAAAATCGGAATAAGAACCGGTGACGATTCGCAGTGATCGTATCGTGCATGTAGTCGAGGTCTTCGTCTTCACTGAGATGGCAGTCTGTTTCATTATTGCAGCAGATAGAGACAATCGTAGTAGTTGGACTTTAATTTCTCCGAGTCAAACAGATCACAAGCGGCACTGAGCTACCCAGTCTCTCTCTCTCTCTCTCTCTCTCATCTCAGTGTGTACGATAGCGTGGTGCGTCAGACAAAGATTCCCCCTCATTTATTCCTCTTCCAATCCCCATGCCGTATCTACTCCATCCGCTGCCATTCCAAACCTTTGTTTTCTGCTCCTCTACTATTTCCTGTCGAGAGTTAGAAACATGCGTTTATTACAGTTTGATATTTCATCTTTCTTCCTCCCATAGGTACTCCAATCCTTCTAATCATCTGCACACATCCAACACAATGTGATTCAGAAGATGTGCTCTCTCTCTCTCTCTCTCTCTCTCTGTATATATATATATATATATTTATATGGGATTTCCTCCATGAGTCACAATGAATGAGGTTGGCAAACTTAGGATTGACATCAATGAGTCATTCACTTCACATGCATCATAAAGGATTGTACTGAAAGTTCTTCATTGCCACATATGTCAGAGCTATGACTTGTATGTCGACTGCACCACATTCCAACATGTTAAGATGTTTTAGCAGGTTGAATAAAGCTAATGAAGTATACGAACATTCGTATAAATTCGAAGTAATTAATGCACGAGGTAATGGCATCAATTTTAATTTCATCATTCAGTAGCATCAACATCATTATATGCTCTTTGTCTCTCATTTTCACCATAATATTTGTATTTGTAGTGGCCTTCGCTGATCAGACGGCAGCACTTGGTTTCTGAAGAAGCTAAATCTCAAAAGCTGTTGAAGTGAGAACTTCATGTACCATTTGGATGCATATATGAGAGAGAGAGAGAGAGAGAGGTTTACTATTAATGCTGCAGCCTGTCTTCCTCCTCGGGTTGTCGGGAGACTTAAATGCCACCCCCACCCCTTCAACCTCCTTAAATTCCGACGCATGAGTCCTTTCCTCCACCACCTCTCGCCCCCCTCTCCCTCTCTCTCTCTTCCTCTGCATGCTCTCCATGTCTCAAGCTTCCATCTTCTCTGCAGAGAAGAGAAACTTCCTCCTTTTTCTTCTTCCAGCTCTCCCTGTAGGGACAGAAGAGAAGGCATGCTTGTGCAGTAACAATGGATGAGGATAACATCACCTTGAGATAGTTACTATGATGTCGGCTCGGCTCACTCAGAGTGCATGCACTACTCAGGCAATGCAAAGTCCTCATGCTTTGTTCTCTGATTGAGCCGTGCCAATATCTTAGTACTCTTTCATCCCTTCAGCTTTCTTCCACTCGAGCGAGTTGCTGCTACAACTGCTTAGTTTCTTCTTCTTCTTCTTCTTCTCCAAATGTAACCTCATCTATCCTCATGGTTATTGTAGGAAGCTTTACTGGTTATCAGCCAAAGTGAAAGCTGCAGCTCCATTGATCAACGCCTCCTCCTCGACTTGCTGCAGGAGGTCTTATGCCATCCAAATTTCTGTACGAGAAAACTATCAAATGTGATGCAAGAAACAGATCACAAGAAGTGGTTGAAAAGGATCAAGTGAACACAAATAAAAGCAGGTAAACATCAAAGCATGGCATTGAAGCATGTAAAGGTAGTCGGCAAAAGATTCCCATATTGATACATTGTTTTCCTTCCATTTTCTATAACATAAAGCAACCATCTAATGTGATCAACCATCAGATACTAATACACCAGAGAGTATCAACTTGTTGCATATGATATGATTGAATACAATAACCAAAAGAAGTAAATGAGATTGAACTGTACCAAGCTATATGTTATGATACCGGTATTCGATCTGCACCTCGAATCAACTTCTGAAACATTGCAAGATTACCAACATGTAACTGAGCATAGTGAACTTGTCAATCATGCAGAATCTTAAAACAATCCAAACAACTATAACAAGCACAACAAATACATCTAAAGAATAAAGCATTTTCTTCTTCAGGTTGATCCAAAACAATCGATCTAACAGTTGATGAGGGTGCTTGGCACATTTACAAGCTTGAATGAATTTGATGATGATGAATTTTTCACATATACGCATTTATTTGTTCATTTTTCGTTTAATCATCACTGGCTAGACCTCATTTATTACCCTGCTCGCCTTTGCGATGCTACCAAACAACACTGGATCAGAAAGGAAAAGAGTACCATTCAGACCTAAAGAAAGCATGTGGATTGTCTAACAGGCTCTTTCTGCTCTGTCGGAAGTCCATTCTCCACCCATGCTGAAAAACCACCTGCAACATCTGTGATGCCAGTAAAACCCTGCAGGAAAGGAAAGCTATATGACTTAATCTATGTTTTATTTAGACATAGAGTTAATGCTTTTCAATTAAATATCAACTGGAAGTTTGTGCACAAATATAAGCCCATCTGACATACTCTTCTAATTTGTACATCCAACAACAGAACTAGGTCGAGTTCGTCATATAGATTCAAAAGCACATCATGAACTACTTACAGCATTTGAAAGCTCTGATGCAGCCATCAGTGACCGTTTTCCGCTTAAACAACCCTGTTAGAAAGGAGAAGAATTTATCCAGACTTGAAGAATAGAAGTTTGAGAGAAAATTGAACTCTAATATCTGAAGGAACTTTAGGTTTTGAATAACATACAATGACTATGTCCATCATGCTACCACAATAAATCCTCGAACACACTTCCTACTCTGTTGGAAGTGGCACTTCTAACAAGTGCTTTTATGGTTCAAAGTGGAGAAGAATCCCAAGCTTTCAACTAAAGAATTGAACAAATAATGAATCAACTATTATTTAATAAGAAAGACGATAACCTATAAGAAATTAAGACTTACAAGCAAAGTAAAACTGATAAAAGAGTTTGCTATATTTCCTAATTGAGATTAAAATTTGAATTTGGCTCCCAGTGCAATTAACAAGAAGCTGGTCACATGAATATGTAAGAATCGAAAAATAATGATAGAATGGTTCACCAACAATGTTAATTTTAAGAACAAGGTAATGATAATGTTAATTCACAAAGTCTAGCTCGTAAGATTTATGGTAATAGACAAAATCACAAAAATCTTCAACGAGTCCAGCAAAAGGCTACAGTTTCAGCTGGGAGATGTTCCTTTCAAGCAAAATCAACTGCTTAACGTGCCATGTTAAAAACCTTTTTGTGACTTTGTGAATTTTAATTGAAACAGACGTGAACCTGCATCTATTAAATTTGAAGTTTCCAATGAAAGTGCCAACATTACCTGATCCATTCACTTGGGCCTCAATCTAAAATGTGCTGCAACTCCAACTTCTGTGGTTAAGATATTGCAGGAACAAAGATTCTAAGAATATAGGTATTTTTGTGATCTTCACACTTGAAGATGAAGTCATGATTGTTACTTATTATCTGATGTGGCCATCAACTCCTAGGATGATCTTTCTAATATTGTCATATAATTTTTGCATCAATAGGTTCAGACTTTGTGTATCACATATAGGAGTCAAGAAAGGACTATCATAAATAAATGTTTAAAATACTTAAGCAGATCAGTCATGAGAATACTTGTAACAAACATATATTAAAACAACAGGAAAACAAGCAATAAATTGAAATTCTAATAATCACTCATGTGATTTGTGATACATTCAGTGGATTAGATTGAGCGACTACCACCAGCTAGAAGTTCAAAAAGGGACTAGCATTTTAGCATCACCTATAGCTCACATAGAAAATAAAAAACAATATTAGGCTAAAAGAAAGCTACATATCCATGGTAAGATGCCCTCGGTCTTGAGGACAAAATAGCTCTTTGACTCACACAATAGACCAGAAAATGCCTGGAAGATTCAGAAGTTCCAATTCCAAAATACTAATAGGTAAGTGAGCACATAAAAAGACAGCATGTAGTGATTAGTTTGTGATGGATGCAAACAACAGGTAATGTGAATATGATGAATTTAGTTGTTGACCATTGGAAAACTTAGTGACTCATCATTAGCAATATACTTCTAAATTCCCACATCACAAATGACATACATTCTGAAGTAGGGGAAAATTAGCAACAAAGTTTCACTTAATAACCAAAAAATGAACAGAACATGACCCATGCATTAATCAAGAGGATCAAAACCTGAAAATAATTATGCATTACCAGAGACAGACTTCAACAGCATGCCCACCACTGAACTCCTTCACAGTCCTACAAACCCATTCAATTTAGAAAAGATATTCAGTAGACTTGTCAAAATTTTCTGACTTATGGAAAATGAGTTAGCACAGTGTCCTGCTGGTTAGTACGACATTGTTACTCGAGCACCTTATTAGACTCAAAATCCAAGCAAAGAATCCAACAAAAGATTTATTTTTACACACTTTGCAAGAGCAATATCATCATTGGCACAAAAACAAAAAGAAAAAGGCCCAACCTGACATCAAGGTAACGATGTCCAGCTGTAAGGAGCTCATGGGCGACGGTGACGGCCACTGATCTCGGCATTACAGCTTCTTCAGCATTCGCGTTCGATGACATTGACCTAATGCAATTATACAACCCATACACAACGCATGTCAGAGAAAAGAGAAGGCAATAACATTTTGGACTAAAAACGGCCCGTTTGTCCGCATCACCTCAAAAGAATCGATCGCTGACGGCGCTCATGGATGACTGTGAAGGGCGGCCACTGATATCGGCTCTGCAGCTACTTCAACGATGCAAACATAATATCTATATACAACGCACGTCAAAGATTAGAGAAGAGGCGGCAATAGCAAGCTGCAATCAAAATCGACCGCACCGAAACAGAATTGGCCGCTGACGCAGGGCGACATATGGCACATGCGCGCAGACCGGTGAGGCGCGAAAGGATGGACAGCAGCCGTCGTCGGTCCACTCCTGCAAGGAAGGTGTTTGATTAAAGGTCGTAAGCGTAGAAACAGCAATCGATCGTATCATCTACCTCCTGAGGAGCGAGAAGAGGCGGAGACGAAGGTACGAGCGCAATAAGCAAGAAGAAGACATGAGTGACGATTTCTGAGGCTTCGAAATGAGAGATGCGAGGCCCTCGCGGGGGAGGTGACCAAAGCTGCGCCGGTTCGACGTGAGACCCGACGCTTCGCGCTCGCTCCGTCAAGAGATATGAATGCACATTACCATCTAGTGAGATCGGAACTTTGGAAAGTAAATGGTTGACGGGTCTCGCCTGAATCAAACAAGACAGGGAACACGCTTCGCTTCCCTTCCATCACCTGACCACCGCATTGTGACGGGGGCACCGGCGTCTCCTACTCCGTCCAAAACGCCTAAACAATACCTTAACCTTCAGAAACAATGGAGTAAATCTGACGTGTTCTGTAACATAAACAACGTCGGAATTCGGCGAAATCCGGCCTCCTATGAAGAAGACCCACCACCGTTTTAGCCCACAGCAATACCACCGGCAGACGAACCTCTCGCTTAGACCAAGAAAAACCCTCTCTGCATCACAATCAATGAAGCTACAGAGAGACTGCACTCATTAGAAGTAATTTAGAATTGAGGATTGTAGGGCTTTACCCTGGGTTAGAGGGAGCCCTTCCAGAAATTCTCGATGGCGCAGGGTCAAACCCCGGCCAAAGAGGGGGTTTGGAAATAGTTTTCAACCAGCAATTGACGCGCCTCGGTTATAACCTCACTAGCTGCGTCATTGCCCCAAGCGCAAAGATGAGTATGTCCTCTGACGAGCGCCTCCTTATCAAGTGCGTGCCTCCTCTCATGCTTCCGTGCCTGTCGATGTGGGACTAAAGCATCCCAGTCGCTCTGTCGTGGCTTTTGAATTGAATAACTTGTTTATTTAATTAAAAAAAAATGACGATTCGAGTCTGGAGATTTGATCGAGCGTCTGATAATATGGTATATTTGGGGGGGTTGGATCATGCGATATGATCGGTGGGGTCCATCTTTGTGGCTCCCACACACCACGGTTGGGAGAACGGAGGGGTAAATGGGCCCCTCGGAGGCAGAGTTTTGCCGACGTTGATCCACGTACCAGTGGTTGACCGATTAAACGATACGTTATCGAAGTTTAAATCGTTCACAAACTCGCTCGCCCGCTTCAGTAGCAGGCGGACCCCACCGTCAAACAGTAAGAACAGGCAACACCGCTTCGAAACCTCCGATTTGCATCCGTCCCTCCACTGAAAAAGTAACCTCTGTTCACCATATTTGATCCGCCATTCTGTCAAATTCCATCAAATCTGGATTCATTAATTAGCTTACAAACGGCTCTCCCGCTCGAGTAACAAACGGATGAAAAAGGAGAACACAGAGAGAGAGAGAGAGAGAGGAGGAGAGAGAGAT